GAGACGTTTACGAATATATAGTGGCCGTACGATCGATTCTGTTATTATATTTTTTCGAGAATTTAAAATAAGTATATATTTTTCTTGCACTGCCGACATCGAAATAATTGTACCGGTATTCAAAATCCCAATTATCCAGTCGCATAATTCGTCGAACGCTGTCTCGTAGATGATTAAACCAGTCGAATCACTTGTATTGAGTGTTGGCAGATAATCTGTAAAAGGATTGTTATGTAGTTTTTTCGAAGCAGTCGCATTTTCACTCTGAATTAAAAAGAAAATGCGAAAATAGAGAAGATAAATAAATGAATTAGTTAGTATTTACCCTTTTACGTAGCGGTCTTTCCATTCTCGGAGTACTTGAATACTGTATATCTTCGCTTGATTCTGATACCACTGTGTTCGGTGTTTTTAACGAACTAATAGTGTCATTGGATTCAAATATTAGTTCTGTAGCTGCCGCAGATGAACGTGAATGAATTGATGTGAATGAGGTATCAGCAATATTTTGTGGTATTCCTTGTTCTAATGTACTCGATTCTATGTTAGCCGAAAGCGGCTTAGGCACTTCCACGACTGTTTTCACAATGTTAGTGTTGCTTTCACGCAATACTTCTCGAGCAACCGAATTATCAGGAATATCAAGTATCTTAGAACTTGAAAAGAAAGATATAGAGCTCATTATTTTTTGTACTGTTGACTTTACAGGTGTTTGTCGCTTGACCTGTCGAGTTGTGGCCAACGAAACAAGACAGCTGCTGCTGTCTTTCGTCACGTTTTGCAATATCTAGGCCTGGAAGTTGACAATAATCATGATCAACAATAGCATTTTTATTATTTATAAATGACGATGGCATGGGTTCATCTGGGAATATATAACTAAGTGGATGATATCCTACAAAAACAAAATTTTCACTTATGTTTACAGGATCGAATATTACGCAGTTTTTAGAGTTTTAGTTCAGAAAAAGTCTGTAGCTACGCGTGGCATTCAGTAGAAAAGCAAGTTCTGTTTTCAAGGTTAAGTCTTTTCTGACATGTAAAAAAACAATTTTCAGTATCTTCTAACGATTTAATTAGTAGCTACTACAGGAGTCACGGTTAGAACCAGAGCTTTCTATGGATTAATATATGAAGAAATTTTTGCGGAGGAAGTCTAAACGAATTTTCTGGATCCTACAATACACTCATTATACAAGACAATATATTTAATCGATGTTGAACAATACATTACACAAGTGCATCAAGTTCTTACCAGATGATGATTGTACAATGATTGATGATGGTGATGATACGGAGTGATCACTTCTGGACTGTTTATTAATGGTATCTTTCTTAATACCTTTACTCATATATGTCCCTGCATTATATAACTTGTAATAACATAATGTATGGATAGGTCTATTTAACAGCGATACACCTGATTGTCTGCCGTATAGTTTGAAATATCCTGTCTGTAGTTTGTTATCGGTTTCCGTATTGGAAACAGTTTTCGAATCACTTCGAGTCAAAACGGTTTTTAAATTGCATACACAACACTGTGGTCGTTTTCTCACAGGATCATCAGTTACTTCTGAAATAATCCGTAAATTGTCCTCCCTAGGAAACGGTAAATTATTTCGGAAATTATCGCGCAAATGATTAAGAATTACGTACACATACCCAGACGACTGTCTACTTTCATTGTACAGTTGAATCACATCCGTGCGTATATTATTCTGATTAATTTTCCATATTGCCTTCAACCACTGTCGTTGAATTGACCAAGTAAGATTTACTTCTTTTGCTATAGGTATAAAAACTGAATCATTCAATTTGTCCACAGTTTCGAGATTAGTCGTATTCAACGCTGTAAGGAAAGCGTTTAGCAGATCTGCACGTGGAATTGACGGAGAGGACATATTCAACCTCAGTATAAGTTTAGAGTTGAAATATTAGAAACTCGATGACCGAATATGCTAACAAAATTTATAATATACTATAAAATATTATAAATGGCATTGTACTAGTTTGCATAATTTGAATGTATCATCAATCATGATGCATTT